AGTCTGCTCAGATCAGACAGCCAGAAAAAGATGAAAGAGCAGGCAATCGATAGCAGAGGTGCAGACGGGAGAAAGCGGGGCAACTCGGCACCGTGTGCATCTTTAAAGACTGCGATAAAGACAAGGGCACAAGCCCGGGAAAGCTGCCTGCTACCCAGGACACCAGGTGCCCTGTGACTCAGCCCACCATCCCAGGTCAGGCAACAGTCTGTGGGACACCCCTCTCCACAGGACCTGAACTCAACCATCTGCCTTGTAAAGTCCGCAGTCTGTCGTCCTCCGCCAGAACTGATTTAAGGCAAACACCCAGTTATGACTGGCCAGAACCCCTCACTGCCTAAAACCATCCTCTGGGGAGTCTCCTGATCACTGCCCTTGGTAGCTCACAAGAATTCCTTGTTACTCCTTATGTCTGTGTTTAAAAACAACAAGGATTGTGTTTAAAGAGGGCTTTCCCCCTCTTTTTTCAGAAGGACACGAATCCAGGGCTCTAGGTTTTGGCCTGTACCTCAATCAGGGACGACAGTACAGCGCTGATGGCCGGTCCCCTTGACCCCTTGACGCGGGGTCCACGGCGGGACCGGGTGGGGCGGGCCAGAGGGCACCGGCCGGCCGCCCCTCACCCCTGGAGCGTTCCGCGCACGCAGCGTTCCGGTCCCGGAGCCAGCGGCCGACCCGCGCTGTGCCTCGGTCCCTCCCGCGGCCTTGTCTCCCCACGCGCTGTGCCCAAGGACTTGTCCCCGTCGCAGCGCTACTGTCCCCCCCGGTCTACCTACAGTGTCCCCCAAACCCCTGCCTTCCAGTCCCCCACCACGGTGGCCAGACCTCCCCTGTCCCTGGTTTCCTACCCTGAGGGCTCCAAACCCCACCTTGCCCCATCACCGCGGCGTTAAAGGACCCCCCAGTCTCCGGAGCGGGTGGGGCGCCGGGGGTACCAGAAGAAACTGCCTCTCCAGCCCCGGGCTGGCCCACTTGCACTCTGCTCCCCGCAGAGGCCAAGTGATCCCTGAGGTTGCAGGGCCAGTCCAGAGGGTGAAGCCATCTGGGGTGGGGGTTGGGGGCGCCCCTGGCCCCCTCTTCTCCAGGGAACAAGACCTCTAACTCAGCAGTAGCCGTCAGCATTGACGCAGCACCTGTTCCCTGCACTTCCTTACTCTGACCCACTTAGTCCAGGCCCACGCTCTCAGGAGCCAGGACACATGGAGGGACCCTGAGACCACCCCCTCACCGCGCCTGGGGCCAGACTAGGCGTGGCCTGCCCCCCAGGACCCCTGAGGGAGCTGGGAGCCTGGCTGGGCCCAGATTCAGAGGAACCCCACTCGTCCGCACCCCCAGCCTGGTTTTCCTGTCTGCTCACAGGAAGGTTCTCCTGCTCTTGACCACTGCCAGGGACTCTCCCCCCACCCATGAGCCTGAGCTGTTTGGTCCAGCTCCAGGAGGTCAGACAGTCTCACGTGGGCCCAGAGCATGGAGGCTGGTAACCCGCCGTGTGTCACCCCAGGGCGCGTCCAGGTGGCCCGTCCTCTGCTTCCCCCTTACCTCAGCTGGGCCCAGAGAAGCTGCAGCAGTCTGGGCACCCAAGGCGTCTCTGAAAACAGGGGACAGTGAGGAGCCGCACCCCTGCCCAGCCCAGCCCAGCCCAGCCACACCCACCCTGCCTGCCTCCCTCTGATTAGGAGGCTGGGGCTGGAGCACTGAATGGAGAGCCGGCCCGGGTAAGTGCTGGCGACTGGCCCAACAGGCCGGAGACCTCCAGGCTTCAGCTGCTGCCCCAAAGCGCAGGCCTCCTGGGCCCTGGGGGCTGGAGGCAGCTGATTCCGGCTGCCCCCTGAATCTGAATCCTCCCCAGGAGAAGGAGAGGAGACCAGGCCAGGGCCCGGTATGACGTGGCTGAGGACTGTCTGCAAATGTGCAGGGTCAGGAGGGCGAGGCCCATGGCCCAGGAGAACCCTGAGAACCCTGAACGTTTCTCCCATCGTGGTCCAGGTCTGGGGGGCTACTCCACGCACAGAGAGGGGCGTTCCGGTTCAAGCCCACGGTATCAGGCCAACTCCAGGTGGGACTGGTACACTTTGATGTCGCCGTCCTCTGCGTCTGCCACCAGCAGCTGGCCCTGAGGCCCACAGGCCACACCCAGGGGTCGCCTCAGCCCCTCGGAAACCAGGCAGATGGGCGCCCTGACCTGGGGGAACAGGGTCACCTGGCGCTGCCGCTGGTCCGCCACAATGACACCGCCCGCTGCGTCGGTGCACACACCTGCTGGGCTGCCAAAGCGGTGCCCGGTCAGGTCCCCCAGGGAGCCCAGGGGCTGGCGGGCACTGCCGAACAGCTGCACATCCCCAAACTCCTCGCTCACTGCCAGGCCCCCGTCGGGCGCCAGGCCCACCCAGCAGGGGCCCTCCAGGCCCAGCAGGGAGGCGGGGGCCAGTGGTGCTAAGTCAGGGCCCAGTGTGAAGCTGTGCACAGCCCCGGGCACGTAGTCTGTCACTGAGAGGCGGCCGAAGGCATCTACAGCTAGCCCCCGGGGGGCGGAGAAGGAGCCCACCGTCACCCAGCGGCCTTGAGGGGCTCGGGCGGTGTGCTGGAGCGCACGGACAGCCCCGTGGACCAGGTCGCTGACCACCACGAGCCCAGCGGCTGTCACCACCACATCTTCCGGCACAAAGGCCCCAGCCCCTGGCACGTGGCAGGGCAGGTGGCAGACGGAGCGTCCCTCGAGGTCCAGCACGTGGACGCAGGGTGTGGCGCCCGCCGTCAGGAAAAGCAGACCATCTGGGGAGCAGTGCAGGCCCCGGGGTCCCCCGGCAACCGCGGTGGGCGCTGGGATCCGCCCAAGCAGCCGAGGCCGCCGGCAGCAGGCAGGGTCTCTGGGAAGGTCCAGTGCGGGGCGCGGTCCCTGGGCCGTGGCTGGCGCACTGGTGGGGGAGGCCCAGGAAGCCCAAGAAGGAGGCCCGGGAGCAGGCGTTGGGCGGCTGTCACGGCCTCGGCCTCTCTGAGCCGGTCCTCCAGCCCGGCCAAGCGTGAGGCTGCAAGACAAGTAACACCCCGCCATGTGCCGGGCAGCGCTGCGGGCCCGACACGGCTTCCTGGCATCCTAGTGTCTTCCTGACCTACAGACCTGACTGTCCCACCACGCCCCCACTGCCAGTCGGGCCTCTGGGCTCTGTTTTCCCAGCTGTGGTCCCTGAGCACAGTTCTGAGAGATGCACGACCCACACACCCCCCCGCCCCTCCTGGACGGCTGCTGTTCCCCTCTGAGATTCAAGAGGAGCTCGGGGCACCTTGCTGTCCGAGGTGGGGGAGGGGTGATGGATGAGCAGTGTTTCTCTATGGGCAGAGGAACGGCGCCTTGTTGGAGACCTCCAGCCCCTGAGGGGTAAAGCAGGGGTCCTTTCCTAGGCCTCTCTGGCCGGGGGCAGGGGTCTCCTACCTGGGGCTAGGCTCCCTGGGCCACGGGCCTGTGTTGTTGGAAACCAGAGCTCAAGGGGGTGGGAGGAGCCACCTGGCCTCGGGGAGGGGCCAGCAGAGCTCCGGCCAGGCGGCCTTTGAGCTGAAGCCCAAGGAAGCCCGAAGGAGCCCGGCGCTCAGCTGCTACCCTGCCAGACACCCTCCAGTGCCGCCGCATTCCCGCCTCGGGGCCTTTGCACTGGCCTCTGGGACATTCCTCAGCCTGCCCGGCTGGTTGCACTCAAGGTCCACCCAGCCACCATCTCAGGGGATAGCACCCCCTCTGTCCTCCAGCGGGACCACAAGTTCAGGACTGGGGGGAGGGCTGTGCCCCTGACCTGCTGGCTAGGTCACCCACCTAGGAGTCCAGGGTGGGGGTGCCCCCACACAGGCTAGCAGGTTGGGTCCTGTTTCTGCACCTGTGGTGCGGGGGTCACCCACCTGCAGAGTCAGTCCAGTGGGTGCTGAGAAGTCGGGGTACGGCAGTCACGTGGGGGTGCTAACGGGGGGCTGAAGTGGAAGGGGGCTTCCTCAGACCCGGTACTTGGGGATTCTCCAGACCCCTTGTGTGTGGCTCAGCCCTCAGCCCCTAAACCCCTCCAGGAAGCCCCTGGAAGGTGGGGGTCAGTCTGTGTCTGTGACCCATAGCACTCCCTACCCAGCCTCCTGCACCCCAGCTCTGGAGGCCGTGGGGGGTGGGCGCGATGCTATCTGCTGTCGCCACGGCTGATGGGCAGCAGCAGTCCTGATCCGACTGGCCCCAGCCCGGCCAGCCCAGCCTAGGGAACCGGGAACAGGCAGGAGCGGCCCTCCTGGGGCCACTCCTGGGTGGGCACAGAGGTGTGGCCAGCTCCTGGGCAGAGAAGCGATTAGCTGGGTCCAAGGGTCCCCGGGGCACCCCTCCCCCCGCTGTGGGAAAGCCAAGTCTGGCCGCGCTGGGAGGGAGGCAGTGGGCTGTGAAAGCCGCCCGATGCCTATCGCAGCTGCAGGGGCTGGCCAGGGCCCAGTGGAGGCCACACTGCGCGACCAGCCCTGGGCCACAGCACGTGGGGCGCCGTTTAACCAGAGCGAGCCGCCTCCTGGACGAATCTGACATTAGGGCTGGCCAGCCAGGGGCTGGAGGCATGCCCCAGGGTCCCTGCCCACCATCCTAGTGCAGAAATGCAGAGAATCCGAAACTGTGCACGCCTGCCTCGCCCGCCCCCGCTCTGCCCCCGTGGATAGCACCCCACTCTCTCCCAGACTCTTGAGTCCCCGGGGAGGGTCCAGGACACTGTGCCCCGACACCCAGTCTGGAGACATTGACGTGGACGGTGACGCTGCAGCGGCAGTGAAGAAGGAGCCCAGACGGGTGTGTGAAGGTGGTCTCCGTTTTAATGTCCACAACCGTGCTCACTGAGGGGCCCTGGGCAGTAACTGCGTGGCCCAGAGACAGGTGTGGCCACGGCGGGTGGGGGTCTGCCCCCGGGCATGCTGGGGCGGGAGGGGAGCCAGGCGGTGGGCGCGGGGTCGGAGGAGAGCGCCCATCTGGGAAAGGGCAGCAGGGGCTGTGGTCAGACCTCGGCACCCGGCGGGCTCTGCAGGCCTGGGACAGCCTCAGGGGGCCAGGAGCCCCCAGCCCCAGCGTGGGCACCCCAGCTGCCGGGAATGCCAGGGTCCTCGGGAGCCTGCAGGGGAAGGGCCGGCGGGGGGACACTGGAATCAGCCTCACACTTGGTGGTGTGGCTGGTCAGAGGCGGGGCTGCCAGCAGGCCACGGGGCTCTGGGGTCCCCCGGGCCAGTGTGGGGCCCAGCTCCGGCTGCGCCCACGGCCCCGCGGGCACCTCATGCGCCTTGGTGGGCGCCCGTTTCACTGAGAGGTCGAGGGGTGCGTCGGGTGGCCGCACGGCCCGCGCCAGCGCCTGGTGGATGGTGAGCAGCTCGCGGCGGATCTTCCCCAGCTGCTCCCGCAGGGGCCGCGGGGCCAGGCCCCCGGCAGGCGCCAGCTGGCCCAGGCGCTGCTCCGCCCTGGCACAGTCGCCCAGGACCCGCGTCAGGTCCTCGCCCATGTGCCCGGGGCCCCCCAGCGCCAGGCCCAGTGGCTGCGGGGGCAGGGAGGCCGTGGGGCCAGCTGTCTCGAGGTCGCTCAGCTCCTTGTCCTCGGGCCAGAGCATCGCGGAGGGGCCGGTCCGCAGGCTGGGGGTGGCGGGAGCCGGTCAGAAGGCTGCACTGTCCCCACAGTGCCCGCCCCCCATGACCCTGTCCAGCCTGGCACCCTGGCCTGGGGCCTCGGAACCCCAGAAGGGAGGAAGGCTGGCTTTGTGCTCTCAGTCTCCCCCCTGCAGCCTGAAGTTCCCCTCTGCAGGCTGAACTCTGGGTAGGGCGGGGGGGGAGGGCACCCTGCCCCCTCAGCGCTGTTCCCGCCTCCCTGAGTGCCCCATGCCTGGGCCCCCACACCCACCTGCTCTGGGCGCTGACGCTCGCTCGGCTGCAGGGGGCCTTCAGGGGTTCTGGCTGGGCCCCCAGGGCCAGCTTTCTCTTGGGGTCGCTCTGGGCGGCCCGCCCCAGCTGCTCTTCCTGCCTGGGGTCCCTGAGAGTGCTGCGGGGCCAGGGCCCACCCAGCCCCGGCACCGGCACCTTCAGCAGCCCAGGGACCAGGGCCCCCGGGGGCCCTCTCAGGGGCACGGGGGGCTTGGCGAGGGCGGTCTTGCCGGCCGGCAGCCCCAGGCTATGCTCCAGTAGCAGGGGGTAGTACAGGCGGGGGATCAGGGTGGGGCTTTCGGGGGGCTGTGGGGCAGGGAAGGCAGCGGCCGGGGGCAACAGGGGGCTGGCCGAGGCCAGGAAGGGCACGTGTGCGGCGGCGGCCAGGGAGGGCCCCAAGTAGGAAAAAAGGCTCGGGCCGAGAGGGTAGTTGACGCCCAGCAGGGACAGGTGGAGGCTCTGGGCCTCGGGGAGCTCCCCGGAGCTGGGCGGAGGGTAGCAGGGGACGCTGGTCTCGGGGCCCGAGGCACCCGCACCCACCATGGCTGCACTTCTCCGGCCCCCACCCGACCCCGGCTTCCATGCCTCAGCCAGGAGGCCCCCCAAGCCCGCACCCTTCTGCATGTCCCCGGCCTCAGGGGGTGGTGTCCCTGGGGAGGAGCCCTCGGCCCCCAGCCGGGGGCCCCCGACCCGGCGGCGCAAGGAGAGGATGTCGGCGGCTGTGAGGTCCAGGTCAGGCGTGGTGGGGGCGTCCAGGAGCCGTGCCCCTCGGGGCCGGGTGCCGGGGTCAGCTGGGGCCGAGGGGTCCGCGGGGCGGCCCGGGGTGGCCGCGGGAGGCCGGGGTGTGGCCGGGGCGCGGCGGCAGGCCCAGTCGGGGGAGTCCAGCAGGAGGGACAGTGAGTCCTTGCAGAGGCTGTACTTCATGTGGTTGTAGAGGTGGGACTTCTCCAGGCAGGTGAAGGGGCACTGGAAGCACTTGTAGTTGTAGGGCTTGCCCCAGGGCCGCGGGATGTAGTGCGGCTTCTTGGGCTTCCGCGCGCGAGCGCGCGCCCCGGGGCCCAGGCGGCAGGAGCTGGCCTCTCGGGACATGGCGGTGGCTAGCTGGCGGGCCACGGCCCCATGCCACCTGCAGACGGGGCCTGGGTCAGCGCCGGCACCCTAGCCGACACCCCACACCCCGTCACCACAGCGGCCCTCCGCCCCCCTGGTCTCTGCTGCCCAGACCAGCAGGCCTCCCTGGAGGGTCAGCAGACACGGTCAGCACACAAAAACGCAGGACGCCCAGGGAAATGGGATTCAGACAAACAGCAAATGCTTTCTTAGTGTAAGCATGGCCGAGCCACCATTTGGGCACTAAAAAATTATTTGTTGTTTATCTGAAATTTAAGTCCTGAACTTTCTTGGTTGACCCTACATACATGTCGGCCAGTCCCCGGCAGGCCCAATTCTGGGGTGACTCCATCCACACCCATCTGCCCCACTGCAGGCAGAGCCTGGGTCTCCGTCTACCCCGGGGGCACTGGTGAGTGACTGGAGGAAGCCAAGTATCAGCATATGAGCAGACTCCCTCCTGGGGACACGGCCCTTCCTTGTCTCACCCCACCCCCAGAGACCCCTGCCCCCGGCTGCTGCCGAGATGAGGAACCAGCAGGAGCTCTGAGAGCCTGTTGACACAGCACGTCCCTGCTCTGCAGGGTGTCCCTGGGCAATGCGGTCTCCGAGGGGGTCACCACGCGTGGGCCAGGCCAGGCTGAGGGGCGTGGATGTCCGGCACGGCCCCACGGCATGGCCACCTGCTCAGCCCGGCTCCATCTGGGTGACTGCCGGCAGGTCGGCGGCCGAGCCTGCCGCGGCCGAGCTTGGCCAAGACCCTCCTCTCCCCACACCCCGCTCGCCTGCTCAGAAGCCACTCTGCGGTCCATCTGGGCTGCCACCTGGGCCGTCCACCGCCCCAGCGCGCGCCTCGGCCGGGGCTCGGCGAGTGCATGCACACAAGCGTGCAGGGCTCCTACTGAGCCCTCCTCACGCAGCGCCCGCAGAGACCACCTCAGCGCAGCTGGGCCACCTCGGAACAGAGCCCGGCAGTTGCCAGAAGGCAGGGGGCCCAGGCACACAAGGCTCACAGACCACTCAGAGTAGACAGGCCACCGCCCACGTGAATGCACTGCACATGCATGCACACACACACCGAGGACGCATAGGGTCACAGTCATTCACGGGCGTGGACACACGGGCATGTGTCCCACTCCCTGGGGCTCAGCCGGCCAGGGCTGGGGCAGTCATTGGGAGCAGACCGTCCTCCCTGCTGGCCTTTGGGCTCTGCACATGGTGGGGAGTCACGTCTGCTGCCTCCAAACACTGAGCGGGCACCCCCATTATGAGAATGGCCAGAGGGGCAGAGGGGGCCGCCCATTCGGACGGGTCCTGGGAGGGGGCTAGCACGGCCAGTGCTCGGGTGTGGAGGGCTGCGTTTATCCGGGAAGGGACAGGGCTCCCAGCAGGGCTGGGAGGAGGGGGCTGGCTGAGGAGAGGGGCTGGGGCCCCCGGGGGCCGCAGACACACCCTGAACTTGGCGGTGGGTGCAGTGGCAGGCCCCACTCCTGTCCCCCGCCCCCCTAAGACACAGATGACAAATGGGCGTGTGTGCTCCAGAGACAGAGGCGGCTGTGCTGGGGCCATCGATCACCCAGCCCTGGGAGCCACACAGCTGTGCCGCCTGGTGCCACCAACACCCCACCTCCCAGCCGGGCCCCTGGACTGGGGGGGCTCCTCCTAGACCCCTGGACTCAGCAAGCAAGAGGCTTGCCCTGTGTTGCTGCTTCGAAGCAGTCACCTGGCTGCAGGGGGGCTTGGTAGGGAGCCATCTCAGCGCCGCTGACCCCATGGGAGCCCAGAGAACACCTGGTACCTGCCCAGCATGACTGTGCACAAGCAGAAGACACCCTCAGACACCAGCACACACCCCACACCCCCAAAGGCATCCCAAGTGCGGCCTGCCCCCCAGGGTGCTTGCCCAGACACCTGGTCCCACTAACCCTTCCCTGGCTGGGGAAGAGCTGAGGGCCGGCCAGTCAGGAGCCCCACCCCAGGGGGGAGAGGGGGCACCCAGCGCTTGGAGCCCCCACCAGCCACCGGGGGGTTAGAGCTTGCGGCCCTTGCGACTTGGGAGCACCCCATAGGGCATGGTGCAGGTGACCAGGCTCCTCCGCGGCTGAAGTCCAGACCCCGACTCCCTCCCCGCCTCCCTCCAGGGCATCCTCCTATAAGGAGGCTGCTGCTGCGCCCTAATAGTTCGTGGAGCCTGGACACCGCGAAGTGGGGGACGTGGGGCTGGGGCAGCCCTGCCCACGCCCGGACAATCCTGTCGGCCCCTCGCGGCCCCCAAACTTCAGACCCGCCGCCGCCCGCGCCGCTCTACCTGCGCCCTGGGCCAAGCAGAGCCTGCTGCGCCGCGATAAGTCTGCGCGTAGCCCCGGGACCCCGCGGGAACTTCCCGCCCCGCCCCTACCGGCGCCGCCACGACCCCGCTTCCCCGGGACCCGCACGGGCTCTCGGGGCGCGACCCCGATTTCCGCCAGGGAAACTGCGGAGGGACCCCGCGCGGTCTGCGGTCACTCACTAGGCAGCGAGTCCCTGAAGCCTCCGCCACGGACCGCGTTCCCCGACGCCGACTCGCACCTACCGAAGTTGGCGGCAGGAGCGGCCGCGCGTGCGCCACGGCGCTGGGCTCCGGGGGGCGCGGCGACCTCCGACCCAGGCTCTAGGGGGGCTGAGGCGCCCGAGCGCCAGCAGCGATCCCCTCCCCACCTCAGGTGCACCCCCGTCTCTCCCACTCCCCGGCCCGCAGTCGCCCCCTCGGCGCACTCACCAGCCTCGCGCGCCCAGGACCGGCTCAGCAATCTGCGCCGCTCCCGCAACTCGTGGATGGAGTCCTGGCCGGTGACACTGGTGGCGCCACCCGAGCAGGGCAGGGTCGGGCAGCCCCGTGGAGGAGCGCGCAGTGCAGACGCAGGTGTGCGGCCGAACGAGGGGCGCCTGGTACGTCCCCGCCCCCGTCGCCTGCAGGCTGCCGCGGGGGTGCGCAGAGGCAGCCAGGTCTCCCGGGGTCCCCGCAGCGGTGTGATGGGGTGTCAGCGGCCGAGGGCACAGGGAGTGGGGCCGTCAGCACTCATTCGTCAGGGCAGGGCTCTGGCCCCTGACAGCCCCTCCGCCTGAGCCAGGGCCTGGAGGCTGAGCCCCGGGACAGGAGGACCCTGGAGAAAAGAGCCGGCAGGGGAGGGCAGAGCCCATCACATGCCGGGCAGAGTCTCCTCTGCTGACCAAGGCTTGCCTGCAGTGCCCTTCTCTCTTCTCCAAACAGGAGGCTGAATGGCTCTGCACCCCCAAGCCCCCGCCCTGCCCACTGACGGTCACTGACCCGGGAAAAGGGGATCCGTTGCGCTCACTCCCACTTTCTGGAAGCCTCCCTGGCAGGCGCTCTGGGGAGGGCCCTGCCCCTGTCCGCTGCTGGCAGGCCTCCTCTCCACTGCCCGTCCCTCTCGTCCCTCTCGGGAGGGCCAGGGGGGGCGGGGAAAGGGCCCACCAGGAAACGCCGCCCCCTCTATCCTCACAGCCTGAGCCGCTCCACCGCCCGTGGAGCTCGACTCCATGTTGATACCAAACGTCCAACACAATAGTCTGGGGCCCCATGTCTCAGCTGGGTCCTAGCAGAAGTCCCCCTGAGCAGCCAGCACCATTCTGGAAGTGGACACAGACCGCAGGCCAGGCCAGTTGTGTTCCTCAGGGGATGTTTGCCTTTGTTTAGGGGACGGTGTCCGAACCCGGAGGTGCGTGATGTCCATCTCAGGAGTGGGGTGGGGTCGGCCGTCGGAGGGGCATGTGCTGCCCTGGAGGCCCCCGTGAGCATCCACTCCACCTTTGCTAGAGCCCCCATCAAAGCCCAGGGCAGCCAGCTCAGTGCGGGGACAGGGGCACTCTGGGGGCAAGGGCGTGTCCTGTAGGGTCTCTGGGATGGAGCTCTCTGGGCCCTGTGAGCCTGGCCGCAGTTTTGGGCTCCGGCTGTGCAGGAGGGTGACTGGCCACGGCGCTGTCGCTGGTGCTCTGGTCAGCCCTGACCGGCGTTTGTAAGGAGCAGGGCGCCATGTTCTGGGGGCATCCGGTGCCAGGACACTGGTGTGAGGGTGACTGTCCAGTGTCACCCTCCCTGATACAACTGGGGAGACCCCACTTCCCCCCTGCAAGCCCACTGGGCAGGGTGGGAGGGCTGGAGGGCTGCGGGGGGGCACGGCCCACCAGCCGTCCCTCTCTGCCCACCTGGCCTGGCCCAGCTGACCAGCTGACCGTGCAGGCAGCCCCAGGCCGGGAGACAGCTTGAGCGGTCATCACGCCAGCAGCTCTGTGGAGCGTGGGGGCCATGAGGCCTGCTCCTTCTGCACACAGACCCCACTCCGGACACACCCAGACGGGGCAGGGGGCACAGGTCACCCTGAGACCTGGGGCTGGGGGTCCCAGGGGTGACACTGAGCCTCCTGGCCCCCCATGGCTGACTCCTCCTCCCAGGGTCTCTGGGAGGCCCTGCTGCCGGCCCTCCAGGAGAAGGGAGGGGCGTCTCAGCACAGCCTGATGAAGCCCAGGAGAGAGGGGAAGAGGCCATTGGAGGCCAGCTCCACCCTGTGGATGGCCCTCCCTGGAGTCTGGGTGGGACAAGGAGCAGTCTCGCCCCCTGAGCTCAAACTGAGGGGCGTGGCCAGGCTCCAGGAGGGGTCTTGCCAGGGGTGCAGGTGGGCCTCGAGCGCACAGCAGGGGTCCCAGAGCTTGGCTGCAGTCGCAGCCTAATGGCCTGTCCCCAGTGCTGAGTCAGGGTGCACAGGCCGCCGCAGCCACAGCAGGGGAGGCCGGTCAGCAGGGCTCTACCTGAGCCACTGGGGGCATTTCTGCTCCCTGCGGCTGGCACAGTGTGCCCGGAGCCTGTCCCACTTTCCACCCTGCAGTGACCCACCCACAGGCCCCACCCCAACATGCTGGGGCGTGCTCGGGCCCAGGGAGTTGGCCCTACCCGAGGCAGTGTCAGGGACCCCCGAGCTCAGGGGCTTGATCCCCTTGTGGCCTGAGCCCGGAAACCTCTGCTCACGCTCCCCAGGTATCGGTCTGGGCCTGCAGACTGAGTGGGGGGGGGCCCTAGGGAGCAGCCTTCCCTCAGCTTGTCCTGGTGTGGGGGGCGGGGAACACGCAGCCCCTCCCTCTGCCTCCAGCTGGAGGCGTCGTGGCCATTAACCTGCTCTGCCCGCTTGCCCAAGGCTGCACACCTGTCACTTCCACTGATGCCGGCACTTGTGCGCCAGGGGCACGTGGGCAGGACAGACAGTGGGTCCAGGGAAGGCAGGGGGACAGCGGTGTGGTGCCCGAGGCAGGCCTGTCTCCTCCCCTCAGCATCCATGCGCGGCCCTCATCAGGACTGGTATTGGGGCCGGGCAGCCTCTGCTCGCCCCGTGGGAAGAGGGACAGTGGCACAGCCCGTGAGCAGGGTCTAAGAGCCCCGGGAGGGGTCAACGCCAGGCAGACGGTGGCCGTGGCTCAGGGTCACCCTCTTGCTGATGACACAGCAGCCCCCCAAGCGTCCGAGAGCCCCACCACGGGCAGAGCCCGGGTCGTCCTTGGCACTTCCCTCCTGCACACTTGAGGTGGCCTCAGGGACTCATGGCGTGGTTCCCAGGGGCAAGGTCACACCTGGGGCCCTGAGAGCACTGGGGAGCCTCAGGTTCACTGCAGGTCTGTGAGGGGCAGCAAAGCCACGCTGATGGGAGTGGCTGACACTGGTGGGGGCTGCAAACAGGTTCAGGGACCTCACCACAGACACGTGGGGGGTGGGGAGCGTACCCATGGGAGGCGTGCTCCAGGGAGGGCATCGTGGGGCTACCCAGCCCACCCAAGACATGGGGCAGAGTGGGCCCACGCTGAGGGAAGGGGTGTGCAGCTGGGAGGCTCCTGACACTGGGACTCTAGAAGAACTCTGGCCAGACCCCAGAAGGCCTCTGGCCCCAAACCTGTGCACTGCAGCCCTCCCCCAACCAGCGCCATCCTCTGGAAGCACCCCCGGCCCCTCCCCCAAAGCTCGCTCAGCGGCTCCACGTGCGCTGGAGGTCCTGGAACCAGAGGCTCCTGGCTGCTCACTAAAGGGGCTGCCGTGGGAGTGAGCTCCCCGTCAGGGGACGCATGCCAGTGGGGCAGGGGCCGTGTGGATCCGCGGGAGCAGCCGGCTGGGCGGGTGGGGGCGCAGCTCGGGCCGCGGAGCTCTGGAGCGCTGGCCGAGCAGCGCCCGGGGCCGACAGCAACCATATGTTGGAAGAGGAGCTGTGCGTGTCCCGCGTGGCCCCCAGGGCCCGGCCTTCCTGGGCCTGTCACAGGCGATTTTTCCTGCTTGAGTGGCAGGCCGGCCGGCAGGCGGGGCAGCGGGGGCTGCAGTCTCTGTGTGGCTTGGGGTCTGTCCCCCCATGGCTCTGCACGCTGGCCCTGGAGCTCAGGGCCAGCTTGGTGCTGGGCTGAGAGTGGGAGCCCCTCCGGCCCGCCGGACGCCCGCCCCTCATGGTCACCCCCGTCCAGGTCAAGGTCGGGGGCCACGGAGGAGCCGGCTGGCTGCGGCTGTCGTGGGCAGGCGCCCGGGGCGGGCGGGAGTCTGCGGAGCTGAGCCCAGAGCGCGGAGGAGGCGGGAGGCCGCAGCTAATTTGTACACTAAGTGCTTCTGACAGGGCTGCCTCACAAGTGAGAACACCCCGCCGCCCGCCTCGGGAAGGCCACCGCGGCCAACGGGTGGGCAGCCAAGCAGTCTGGGCGAGGGCCGGGAGGGGCCCCAGCCGGCGAGGACGGGGGGCGTGGGGGGACGCGGCCCGGGACAGGCGCCCCTGCAGGCACGCGTCAGGAGGCTGTGCCTCGCCCACCACCCGCACCAGCTCAGGTCCAGGTGCCACCAGGCGGCACCTCGGCGCCCATAGCACCTCCCGGGGGCAGCTGCATCCCCAAGAAGGGTCTTAGCCGCGGGACCCCGGCCCCCGGTTTCCTCAGCCCTCCCTGCTGGGGAAAGTGTCCAAGGGGAGCAGGCACAGGCTGGGGTCTCCAGGCCAGCCGACAGGGAGGCAGGCAGCCCCCGGGCCCGACAGCTCTCATGTCCTGGGCGTCTTGGGGCTGCAGCGATGTGGGCCCAGGCTCCCCGGGAGGCCCTGGGGTGACGGAGCCCAGCCCCCCGAGGACAGGTCCAGCGCAGCCATGGATGGAGTGGGGGGTGGGGTGGGGGTGCGTCTCCAGGCGCTGAGTGGAGATGCACTGTGGCAGCTCCCCGCCGCCCGAGGCCCGCCCGGAGCGAACACTGCTGGTGGCTTTAATTGCTTTCACATTCGATAGGCTGGCCCGAGACAGGCCTCTTACACCCAGCGCGGCCTCGGCACCCCAGCCCCCTTCTCGCTGGGAGACTGGCCCGCCTGGCCCCACATGGAGCCTGGGCTAGGACTGCGGGCTGCACGCCGCCCAGCCTGGCAGGGAGTGGGCACGGGGCGGCCGTCTCCCAGCCCCGCACACCCTCTGCTCCACCGTGACAAACAGATCCAGACAGGCGCCTGGAACGCAGCTGTCTCTCTAGGAAAAGCCCGGCACAGGCAGGGCCCTTCTGAGGCTTCATGGGTGCCAGTCTGTGAACCACCGCAGGGTTGGACCTGAGCCACTGCCCCACCTGGATGCCCCATCCCTCCTGGGGTGCAGGCAGCGGGTGGCAGGGTGCCCCTGAAGGCTCCCTGGGAGGCAGGCCTGGGTACCAACCCAGGCATCCCAGAGAGGCTGTCCCTAGGTGGGCACAGCTGTCCCAGAGAGGAGCCCAGGGGCCAGGGGCCCCTGGGAGAGACAGACGAAAACGCACTTACAAAACAAAACATCTTTATTTGGTCCGTCGGAGCCTGAGTCTGGAAACACCCATGGGGTCATCCTACGGGGATGGCGCTGACGTTGATAAAATAGTCTCTGCATCAGAAGAGCTGCCGTATGTACAAGGTTAAAAATACTCACAGCTCAGAGTAAGAGGAGGAGTACAAAGGGGGCGGGGGGGTGGCCTTAGTCGTCCCCAGGCAGACAGAGCTCAGGGCTGAGCAGACAGGGAGAACGCTGGCTCGGCGGGAGGGCTGTGGGGCTGGGGCCCACCCTGATTGCGCCTGGACATGGCCCAGGGGACTCTGGGACTCTGCTTCTCCTGCAGGTCAGGTGGTGCTAAGCACAGGGCTGGGCCCAGACCCACCTGACCACCACCCCAGCCCCGGCCCAGGGCATGGCTTCGATCCTGGCTGGCACGCCAGGAATTGCATAGTGTCCCTCCCCACCCTGGTTCAGCCCAGTTGCCAGGCACCTGCCTTCTCAGACCCTGCTGGGGCTCTAGGGACCCCTGCTGGCCGCATGAGGGCTTGGGGGTGAGGTGGGATATGGGGGCAAACTGAGGGAAGGCTCTCGACCTCTGGCCACAAAGGGGTGGTCCCTACTCTCACCCTGGGATCTTGACCTCTGACCTCCCCGAACTGGAGTGGTCCCTGCTCTCATCCTTGGGCCCTGGCCTTGATCCCCTAAAATAGAGGTGGTCCCTACTTTCACCCTGGGGTCCTGGCCTGACCCAACAAAGGGCTGGTCCTTGCTCATCTCAGGGTCCTGGCCTCTGCTCACAAAACGGAAATGGTCCCTGCTCTCAACCTGGAATCCTGACCTCTGACCCCTATGACGAGGGTGGTCCCTGCTCTCATTCTGGGTGGGGTCTTGGCCTCTGACCTGCCCAGATTTGGTTTTGGAGCACATGGCTGCCTGACCAGAGAAGGAGACCCAGGCCCATGGAGAAGGGGCAGCCTCACCCTGATCCTGGAGATTGAAGCCAGACCTCAAGGTGGGCTGGTCAGAGAGGCTGGCACACAGCCCCCTAGAGCTGGAGATGGGTTCGAGGTAATCTGCTGGGTGGCTGGGAGGCCCTGGGCAAGAGGGAGGGGCGGGGGGGAGGGCCAGGGGAGCTGTGCCTGTGGCTGGAGCTCCCTGGGTGGGGGTCCTGAGATTGTGGTTCAAGCGTCCTGTTGGGGTCTCCCTCATAAAGTGCGTGTGGGGGCAGGCGGGTGGGGGCAGGGAGGTCACAGCGGCCGGGGGCCGTGCAGACCAGCGACCTCGGGCGTGAGTGGGGGGCTGTGGCTGCCCTTGGAGGCCGTCCAGTCGCTGAGGAAGGCCTGCGCTGCCTTGCGGTGCGCCAGGCGGTGGGTGATGGAGAAGCCGGCATTTCCTTCCAGCTGTGACAGGATCACCAGGACCTGCCTGGGGGAGGGGGCCGGTGAGGGCCTGCGGGGCCAGCAGGCCGCCGGGGGCAGGGCGGGGCGGGGCGCACCTGTGCAGGGGCGGCACGCTGTCCTGGGTGCGCAGGCTGCCGCGCGTGGACACCACGTTGAAGCTGTCAGAGCAGTCGCACTGCACGTGCAGGTAAGACTTGGGGTGCCGGTTCTCCACAACCACGATGAGCCCTGCCCAGCCGTGAGTCAGGTAGTAGCAGGTCATGCCCTCGCGGCCCTGGGTGCAGGCAGTGCAGGTATGGGTGGGCGGGCCGTGGGCAGCCACCTCCTGCCGCACCCCCAGGGTCCACACCCGCCCACCCACCTCGTGCCGTTCGCCCCTGCTCTCCGTGAGCAGGATGATGGCGTCGGCCAGCGTGGTCGGCTGGGCCTCCACGGGCTCCACCATGACGAGCCTCGAGCTGTACACGGCCAGCACGTGGCCGGGCGCCTCCGGGGTGCTCCGCGGGGCCCCCGCTGAGGGGCTGGAGGCTGCAAGGAGCACCGAGGGAGGGAGTGGGTAGCCCTCCTCCTGTGTGCCACCCGGACCGTGTGGGCGGAGCCGCGCTGATGGGCAGGGTGTGGGCGGAGCCTGGGCCCTTGTGGGCGGGCCCGTGCTGATAGGGACAGTGTGGGCGGAGCCTGGGGGCTGTGGGCAGACCTGGGCTGTGTGGGGCGGGGCCTGGGGCCTTGTGGCCACCTGGTCACCTACCCTGCAGAGCGGGTGGGCCGGGTACGGGGCCCCAGTGGTTGAAGGCACAGCACACCACGGCATACTCGCCCGGCTCCAGCATCACGTCACAGTTGACAAACTTCTTCACGGCGCGCTTGCTGTGGGCTAGCAGGCGGCCCAGGCTCAGGCGGCCGCCGCTACCGAAGGAGGCCCGGAACACCAAGACACACATGTCCAGGAGGTGACTGTCCACTGAGTCCGCGCGCCTGGGCGAACGGAAAGGTCGCCAGTGGCCAGGCCCCACCCCTAGACCCGCGACACCCCGCCTTCCCGCTCCCAGTCCGCCCGGCCCACCTGCTGCCCTCCTGGAAGAGGGCAAACTCCAGGGAGGCACGCTCCAGCACCGTGAGGGCCGTCACGCCCACCGGCCCACTGGCCGAGCTGGGGAAGCTGCCTTGCACCCGAGCCTCCTGCCAGTCCGAGTGCACCTTGCAGATATCCACGGAGTCAAAGTACCTGGGCAGCGAGAGGATAGTCAGCTGAGCGGCCTCCACCTAGCTGCCCGCACGGCATGCGACCCTGGGCAGGGTGACCGCAGCAGGCTCTCTCGGCTGCTGGCAGTTCTTGGAATCTGTGTTCAGAAACCCCAGTCCTGGCTGTTGTCTGTGGACACCGCCGGGGGCGCCAGGCCCTAAGGCTGACCCACGGGCAGGGTCCCAGCAGAAGCACCCCATGCCATGCAGTAAAAAGGCCAAGCTCCTGGGAAAGATGCTGTATACACCAAGGCGAGCGGTGGGCAGTACCTGACGAAGTCACTGTACTCCATCCAGAAGACACCCTCACTGCTGCCATGAGGCATGAGCTCACTCCGCAGGTGTCCCGGCCAGTGTGGCCACTCGTCTGACCAGCTGCCATTCCAGGAGAAGCGGCCCCACGGGTTCCGTAGGCGCAAGAGCCTATGGACAGACCACAGGGTTGGGGGCCACACCCATGGCCCCGCCACGCCCATGGCCATGCCCATCCTTACCTGGAGCCCTGGACATCCCGGACATCCAAGATGGAGTAGGCGTGGCGGGGACGCAGGCCTAGACTCTCATAGACAGCGTCATCCACCTTCATGTTGCCCCCACCACAGGAGGCGCCCATGAGGAACCTGCACAGTTAGAGCAGCCGGCTGACTGGGGCCCCTTGGTATTGGGGTGGGCTCTCTCTCTAGGGGACATCTGCTGTCCTGGCCTGCCTCGGGGAGGTGCAGCTCCAGGAGGGGGTCTCCCTGACTGTGGGAGACCCACGTGGGACGCCAGGGCTCAGGAAGTGATGGGCCAAGCTGAGGTGGGCAGGCCTGGGTCCCTTGGAGGTCTGGCAAGGCTGGGGGCCCTGCCAGCTAGCTCAGAGATGCTGCTCCCCAAGGGGTGGAGCCGTGCCATTGCCCACCACAGCTGAGGGCAAGGGTCCTGGGCCCACCCCAGACACTGGCCAGTGCACGCCTGAGTTCGGAAGCCCCCACTCCCCCAACCCGTCCACCCTGGGGGCTGCTACTGCCAGGTGCCACCATGGAGCTCACTCCACGTGGACCCCCAAGGACGCTGACAGTCATCACAGGCCCAGGTCAGGACAGGGCCTTCTAGGTACAAGCCAATGGACAGCACCCTGCATGCCCTCACCCCATCCGAGCAGGTGAGGTGGCCAGCACAGCATGGGGAGCTGGGCCTCCAAGCTGTTGTCAGCCCGTACCAGAAGTATCTTGTGAAACATGGGTGCAGATCAGGGCGCTGGCCTGACTACTCCTGCTGCTCCAGGCCCCCAGCATGGCTGTCCCTCTTACCCAGCCTCTTTAGAACTCAGCATTTTGGCCCAGATGAGATCAGTGTCCACCGGTTCCTCACGGGGGTTCGTGGAGCTGACCTGCAAGGCTAGGCTCTCACAGGGGGCACCGGTGAGTGTGGCCAGGCCCTCTATGGCGCGCCCAGCCTGGAGCGCAAAGTAGGAGCCGTGCAGCTTGGCCAGCGCTTTCTCGATGAGGGCCACCCACAGCTGCTTGCGCTGAGCCTGTGGGGGGGGGCTGGAGTTGTGAGGCCGCCACCTCTTCCCGCCTGCTGCCCGCCCGCCCGCGCCCCCACCCACCTGGGAGAAGAGCAGGAAGCCGGCCTCGTCGCAGGGCAGCATGTCGTCCACCAGCACTGTCGTCCATGTGCCGTCCTTGCACAGCCTCACCTGGTAGGCACCCTCTGCACACAGGCTGCGTGTGACCATCACCCGCTCAACCAGGTCTGGCCGCTCAGCAAGCACTGCCAGCGCGCTCAAGAACCTGCACGAGACTGGGGTTCAGTGGGAGCTTGGCCCGCCCTCCCCAGGTGGGAGCCCCACACTCACCAGCAGTTCCCCAGGAGACCCTGCAGGATGTCGGAAGGCCGGAGTGTGTGGAACACGGACCAGGAGGTGCCATGGTCCCTGAAGACGGAGCAGTTGATCTCGTGCGGCCGCAACCACTGTCGCACACGCTGCTGGACGCTGTCACCCGCGGGGAAGCCCACAGATGCGGGCCCGGGGGGGAAGCTGTCGTCCACAAAGTTCACACTGTTCTGCAGAGACCACGGCCATAACTCAGGGTGGGCCGAACCCCACCCCACCCCAAGAGTGCCCAGCTGCCTGAGCCCGAGAGGAAGTGGGGCAGAGAGCAGCCCTCAGCCTGCAGATGGCACGGCTGAGCCTTGTGAGGCCCACACCACCCTGTGCAGGCATGGTGGACTGCAGTCAGCCAGGGCACAGCAGGCTGGCGACAGGCCAATGGGAGGAATGTGTGCCCCAGGGGACAGTGCGGGGCCCAGCCTGGAGGCTGCAGGTGTGGGTGTGGGGCGCCAGAGGCCCTAGAAGAGAGGTGGGGGGTCTGAGGGGGGCAGGGTGGCCGGGACACAGCTCTGGACGGGCTGCCAGCAGCAACAGAGGGCAGCAGCCCGGGGGACAGATCCCCCCAGGGCCCTGGGGGTGACACCCTGGGCTTAGCCTCCTGCAGTCCAAGAGCAGAGAGCACGCGGGGCACCTGTCTCAGCTGGGGTTCTGCAACCAGGGGCGGCACCCGGCCTGCCTGTCCCCACCTGCCCGTAAGGCCACTGCTGCTGGTGCTCACGCTGGGGGAGAGGGGTCAGGACCCTCTCGGACACGGAAGGAGAAGGGCCTGAGGATCTCAGGTGACTGGTCACATGGGGGTCACCGGAGCTGAGGTTCGGGGGCGAAGGGACCGCCGTGGGGCCGCACCTCCCGGCAGAAGGCCACGATGTCCTCCCACAGGGCCTTGGCCTCGCCCTCATCCGTCTGCCGCCGCTTCTCCACAAGCACGCTCTCCCTGCGCCGCAGCGGCGCCACGCCCCGGCGCTGGGCCGCCAGGAGCTGGGGGGTGTGGCAGGTGGCACAGTGCTTGGCCCGAGGCGCGTTGAGGAGGGTGCAGGCAGGGCAGGCCCACTGGCCCGGGCGCTCAGACGGCGCCACGGGGAGGGGGCGGCCGGCCTTGTGGGCTGGGCAGGGCCCGGGCCTGTCTGCACTGCAGTCGGGGCAGTGGGCGGGGGCGTCGCCGTGCTCCTGGAAGCCGTGAAGCTTGGAGCAGCCGCACATCGTGCACCGGGGGTTTGCCGTGGGGTTCCTGAGCGTGCACCTGGCGCACGACCAGGTGGTGAAGTCAGGGCTGGAGGGGCTGGCCGGCGTGTAACGCACACTATCACCACCCAGGTCAATGATGTCGCTGCCCGGCGTCGTGCTGCCGGCCTCGCAGTGAGCAGGGCTGGCGGGCCCCGGGAGGCGCAGCGTAGGGCCCCCCTCAGCTGCCTCCTCCTCCAGGAAGCTCAGTCGCTTGCCTGACAGCAGCTCTGACAGGCGGGAGGCCCCGGCTGCGGGCCGCCCCAGGCCCTGGGGGGGCCCCTTGGAGCCGGCAGAGGGCGAGGGCTGGGCGGCCTCAGGCACCGGTGGCTGCAGCTGGGGGGGCACCTCGCGGCGGCTGCGAGGCACAGGGTTGTTCTGGAGGGTGGGTGAGAACGGGCTGAAGGGTGGCCCCCGGGGGGGCTCCTGGTCCACGGCAGAAGGAGGGTTCGCCTCGGCACCTTCCCCAGGCTGGGCAGGGGCCGGCACGCCGGGGAAGCCTGCAGGAGCCACAACTTCCGGGACCACAAGTGCCTCGGGAGGGATCCTGGGCAGCGAGAGTTTCCGGGGCCCCCCGCAGGCCGAGCAGGAGCTGGCCACGGGAGTGTTATGCAGCGTGCAGCGCTGGCAGGCCCAGCCGCTCCCAGGCACGGCTGCGCCCCCCTCCTGCCCCTCCGCTTCCGCTGGCCGGCCGCCTGCTGGCTCCACGGCCACCGGCCCCGCTGTCCGCAGGGGCCCCACCTCGTCCCGGCAGCTGCCCGGGGGCTCTGGGGGCGCCCCGTTGATGATGGGCAGCGGGGAGGCCCCTGGGCCGGGCTCAGGGGCGAAGCCACACACCTCGCAGGCCCCCCTGCCCAGAAGGTTGCGGAATGTGCAGCGGGCACACGGCCACTTCTGCTCCTCCACGCTGAGTCGCAGGATCTGGTCCAGGTCGGGCTTGTGCCGCGGGGCCTCGCAGATGGAGCACTGGCGCTGGCCAGCCGGGTTCAGGAAGGTGCAGCGTGCGCAGGCCCACTCCCCGACCGCGGCCATGGGCCCGGGCGAGTGCGTGTGGCTGCAAGGGAAGGCTGTGGTCAGGGGTTTCTGACAAGGGTGTCAAGAGTGTTCAGGGGGGAACGATGGTCTTTTCAACCAACGCACTAGGAAAATTGGATCTAAATGCTAAAGGAGGAGTCAGACCCGTACCTCACGCCATATTCGAAACTTAACTCAAAATGGATCAATGACATAAGTGTGGGGATGAAAACTATGAAACTCTTAGAAGCAGAAAATGTAGGTAAATTTTCATGACCGTGCAGGCAAACAAAGGAAAAAACAAAAGAACATCAAACCTAACATCTTCCATGAATCAAAGGACACCATAAAGAAAGTGAAAAGATATCCTACAGGAGACCACCGTGTGTTTTGCAAACCGTGTGTTTGATCAGGGTCTAGCAGCCAGAACGTATGAAACGTTCTTACGACCACATGACAAAAACCTGGCTTTAAAAATGGGCAGAGGATTTGAGGCGACTTTCCCCAGAGATCCGGAGAAGCCCGTGGAAAGCTGCTCAGCAGGTCAGTCAGGGAAATGCAAAGCGCACCAGCCCACCCGGCAGGACGGCTGTCAGGACCTGGAGCTGGAGAGACCCGGTCTCCCACGTCGCTGGGGGAGCGCAGAATAGCACAGCTGCTGCGGGAAACCGTTAGATGGCTCCCAAGAAGCTACGGAAGGACCACAGTTAAGACCCAGCAATTCCACCCCAGGTACGTGCTCTTCACCAGCACACATCCACACATGCTCAGCAGATTTGCCCACAGCAGCCAACTGGTGGAATCAAGCCAAGTGTCCATCAATGAATAAATGGACAAACAAGACATGGAACACCATTCAGCAGCCAGGAGCGAAGCGCGGACACACGCCAGCACTGGGCCCCGACACATGGCATGATTCACCCACGGGAAGGTTCAGGATGGGCAAACTCAGAGGCAGGAGCCGGCTGCTCCAGAGGGCTGAGCAGGGTCTCACCCTCACCCGCCGCTCGAGGCCAGCCCGCATGGGGGGCGTCCACGCTCTCTTGCTGACGGTAGCTGATCTGCTCGGCAGAAACACCAACTGCTCTTTTACAAGGAGGCGTGGAGCTCGCGCTTCTCATGCTACATTTACGCCAAACACTCCAGGAAGAAAGAAAACTTCCCTCTTCAAGACACAAACAGAAACCCTCCCCCAAGCAGCACGATGGTTCCTGGGCCCAGCGCAGGCCGATGCCGCCTCCCCGGGTGCGTGGCTGAGCCTCGGGGCTGTCCACAGCTGCCACAGCGCCTAGTGCTGGACGCACCCTAGCCGGGTCAGCTTGGGCTTCTGCATGACCAAAGCCTAAGAAACACCCCTGCTGCTTCCCAGCGAGAAGGCCCACGTGGCCACACAGACAAGCTGCACACACGCTGGAGCCCGGGCCCAGGCTTGGACGGCTGCCCTGAGCCCCGTGTGCCCCCGCAGCCTGGGGGAGACTTGGGGGGAGACTCAGGCCAGCCCTTGGCTCCAGGCCCCCAGTGGTCCAGGTGTGCTGAGCACACGGGAGGGCAGGAAGCCTCACCCTTCACCCCTTACAGCCCGACAGCTGGCCGGGCCCGGCCCGGATGAGCACGAGGCCACACTGGGGTCCTCGGCTGGCGTCCCGGGAGGGCGGGAGGCGGTGCGGGCTGCCTCCCTCAGGGACCTGCTCGACCCACGCCTCAGTCTCGGTGTCACGGGGTGGGCGGGGACGAAGCAGCTCAGGGGGCAGCGGTGGGGTGTCTGGAAGAACCTGGGCCTTCACCACCCCAGCCCCAAAGCCAGGGTCACCTCCCAGCACCCTGATGTACCAGAGCCTCCACACAGACGCTCCCAAGCACCAGGCACTCTCAGGGGCTGGGCGCCCACCCTCAGGACACAGTGAAAGCCGTAGATGGGGTGAACAGCACACGCCTACTCAGCCTCGGCTCTCTGGGCTACAGCCTCAGCCCCAGATCAGAGGCAGGCGGGGGCGGGTGCTCCCGGGACACGGGGGCTGCAGCAGCTGGGAAACGGCCTTTGGCTCCCTGGAAAGCTAAGTGGAGTAAGTTGGGTCCCCACTCAAGGACCCCGCTGGTCAGGCCAGCAGACCTGAGGCCGCGCTACCTGGCAGGACGCCCACCTGACCCTGACCCCCAGCTGGCCCCAAGGGGCACACGGGCACCTCCCTCCAAGGTCACCTTCAGCCAACTTTGCACCATCCCCTCGGCTTGTGTCCCCAGGGCAGGCCTGCAGCTCTCAGGGGCCGATGCCCACACCAACCCCAGGTCCTCTGGGCGTTGCAGCTCCCGGTCCACCTGGCGGTGGGACCAAGCCCAGACCTGCAGGCTCCTCAATGGAGGGGGCGCTGTGCGGCAGGTCCCCACAGGGCCCCTCAGGGCAGGGACAGCTTGGCCGGGCCACTCACACGTGTGTGTCCACGTGTCCAGCGGAGGTGTGGGGAGCATTGGCCTGCCTCTGCCGCACCATCCCCCCGCCTGCCCCTCTAGTGTCTAGTCGGGTGCCTGTGGATTCCTCAAGGTCACTGGCGGCTCTTCCTCCTGACTCACTCCAGGTGGCACAGCTAACTACTGGCAGCGCTGGGTGGGAGAATAAGAGGGTGCGGGCCAGACCGGTGACATCTCTGCCACCCGCCTCGGGGCCCGTACCCCTCCCTGAGGCCTAGCAATTCCCCCCTCCCCAGCGACTTGCCCTGAGAACGTAAATACGTGGAAATGAAACGACATGTGTGCCTGGAGAGGGCGCGAGGAGACGCTCTGGCCCCTGGGGAGACGCCGGTCAGAGCAGCTTGGCGACCACCCTGCATGCAGGCAGGACGGCGCAGGGAGGGTGTGGAGAAACCAGAACCCTCCCTGCGTGGCTGGGGGCCTGGGAAATGGCGCGACCACTGTGGAGAGCAGCCTGGCAGCTCCTCAGACAGTTAAACGTAAACTTACAGTAAACACCAGCAACCTCATTCTGTGTAGTTACACAAGGGAGGTGACAACACACGTCTGTACAAACTCCTCTCCACGCACGTCCACAGCGGCAGAGCTGCAAGTCCGAGTGCCCATCAGTAACCAGCAGGCCTACTTCGCATGGCAGAGCATCGCTCAGCCATAAAGGGGCGAAGTCCCAACACTCGCTACCACACGTGGCCCGAGAACACGATGCTCAGTGAGAAGCAGACACAGAGGCCACACACCGTGTGATTCCCACTGTGTGAGCAGAGCCCCTGACGGCAGGGGAGTGCCATCCAAAGCCATCACTGACCGCACAGGGACCCGAAGCCCTCTGCTCCCCAGCCGTCCCTCTGGACCACGGGCCTCCACGACTGTTCACTGGGGTCGCGCGGTGACCTCCAGAAGCCTGCCAAGACCCAGGTCCTGCTCCACGCACGGGCCAGCCGCCTAGATGGTGAGCCCAGGACATGCTCGTGTCCCACACACACCAGGTACTGTCCCACACAAGTGAGCTGTGTCTGATGAAGTGCCCGCTGAGGGCCACCAGCGGAGGGCAGTATCTGCAGCCCCTGAGGCGGGCTGGGGCCCCGAGGAGGCCAAGTGCCACCTCTGGCCCAAGGGCGGTGGACTCTGAGTGTCTGCTGCGCCCCTCACCCTCCAGCCAGGCTGCAGGACGCGGAGAAGCTGGGGTATCCGTGTGTGGGCAGCGTGGCTGGGCTGCCCACCCCTCACCTCAGCACCCGGAGGTGGAGCTCGCCGGGGGAGCCTGGGTCGAGTCCAGCCGCAGCTGGAGGACGTGAGCACGTGGAGGGAGGCTTGTCAGCGGGACCCACAGCCCCCAGGCCCCTGTACGCAGCCACGTCACAGGGCAACACGCGTGCGGGCCATGGCAGGGCCGCAGATTCCACAGGAAGCAAGCAGCATTCTCGGTGCATGCCATGCCCCCAGCCCTACCCAGCAAGCAGCTCCAGCAGACGCTGCAGTGCCAGCGGACAAGCAAGCCCCCGGCCTGAGGCGGTGGCAGTCCTGGCCCCACCATCTGCGGTTCTGAGACCCTCAGCCCAGCTCCGGGGGGAGGGGGTCCTGGGTGTGCTCTGCCCAATGAGCAGCCTGAGTCACCCGGGTCTCTGGGGTGAAAAGAGTCGCCAGAGGGCCCTAAGGGACAGGGCCCGCTTGTCTGGGAGGCCCCCGGGGGCCACCCCTGCTCCACCCGCTTACCTTCGGGCCCGGGGCCGCGGGGGCGGGTGCTGCCGGGTGCCCAGGCTGTCGCCCCACGCGGGCCCCCCGGGGCCGCTCCTACCCCAGCCGGCCGCTGCCGGGGGCCCCGGGCAGGGCGGTCCCCGGGGGAAGCCGTGGTCCGACTCGGTCTCGGCGGCCAGCGAGGAGGCGGAGCTCCCCATGGCCCCCGCGGCAGCCACACTGAATGCCGGGCCTGGTCACAGGGCGCCGGCGGTGGCGGGCGAGGCAGAGCATGGAGGAGGGCGGCCTCGAGAGCCGGGCTGGTCCGAGGAGCACAACAGAAATGACAGAGACAGAGAGAGAAGAGACATGTGACTACGGCGCCTGGAGGGTCCCAGCGCATGCGCGGCTTCCGGGGCAGCAGGGGCACCTGCAGCAGGGCCACCACCAGGGTCCCCCCTGCCCCGTGGTGCCCCCAGCATGGCCCTCTCGGCCCCCCCGGGGCGAGGTGGCTTTGCCACAGTTGCTGGCCTTCAGAATGGGTCTCACCCTGGAAGAAATGATCGAGGAGATACTTAACCAGAGAAAATAAGCTGGAAGAGGAGTGCCCAGTAGGGCTGGTGAGCCCTGGGCACTATCCACAGTCACCCCCACGGCCCTTACGGAGGACAGCCTCCCCTGACCCGGCGACGGTGAGCAGGAAGGGGCCCAGGAGGCTGCCTGCTCTCGGGAGGCGTGGGCCCAGGTACACCTGTCCTGAGGTGGGAGGTGGCGGGGGGAAGGGGGCGTCTCCTTTCAGATGAGGTGAGTCCCAGTCAGGCCAGGGAAGATGCCTGGGCTGCCTCTGGGCCGCCGAGGCTGTCCACTTCCCTTTCTGGTCTGCCTCAGCCCAGGTCCAGCACCCACGGCCCCTTCCCAGCAGGGCAGCGACTCTGTCGGGGGAGGGCCTGGGCCCTGTCCTCAGTGCTGCAGTCAGGCCAGCGAGCCGGGTAGCAACACTCCTGCTGGACCTATTCCTCCAAGGGACGGAGACCAGGGCCAGACAGGCTGCCGAAGGCCCGGGGCCCCTGAAAGTCACCCACCACTCAGGCTTCCCCTCAGCTCGACCAGAGCCAACTGGGGTGAGGGGGGCCCCCAGCGGCTGCAGAGCCAACGCCCCCCACATCCACCGACAGGAGGGCCGCCTGGTGGGAGCGCCCTGCGAGCCGCAGGGGTCCCTTCTCCCTCCTAACAACCACGTGGAAAGGACAGGCACAGGGGATCGGGGTCACATCACCCGACACGCCTGACACGCCGCCAGGCCCACCTGATGTCAGGGTGAGGCCCGTGTGAGCCCAGGACCACCCGCCTCCAGTCGCAGCCCTTCCCCTCCTACGGCGGACGCTCACCCCCATGGGGACGAGTCACACTCGGGCGGCGGCCACGTCTGGAGTCCTGCGCCCTGGGCTGTGAGGGGGTGCTCATGGCGCCCAGGCCGTGGGCAGTCAGGCCCACGCCGAGCTGGTCCTTCAGGACACCTGCCCCTCCATGGCAACCAGGCCAGCCCCCAGCCTCCTGCCCCAACCCCACGCGGCACCTTCCCGGGGAGAGACTCCGAGCATCTCCAATACTCCCTTGCCGCAGCCAAACCCTGAGCGGCCGAGGCCTCGAGCTGAAGCTAAGCCACAAAGGTGCCCACGGAGCAGGAGCACTCACGCCCGAGTCCAGGGCTGACCAGGAGCTCGGCCCATGCCCACTGAGAGCAGAGAGGACGGCTGGGGGCAGCCCACCCGCAGCCAGAGCCCAGGGGAGCGAGGACAGGGCCTGGCCTCCGTGCCGCCTCGGTCTCGGGGTGGAAGGCGAAGTCCTGCAGCAGGGAGACAGGTTGGCACCCCTGGCCGATGGACTCTGGGTCCTGGCGATAAGCCTGTGGGCTGGGCTACTCAAGGGCCAAAGTCCAGACCCGTCCAGTGGGGAGGGCCAAGCGCCTGGAAGACCCACCCCCGAGCCTCGCCTCCGAGGCCAAGCCCAGGTTCCAGGGCACAGCCCGTCTGGCTGCAGGGCCTCACACTGAGCAGTCTGGGGCCTGACTCGGCTGCTCCTCGCTGCCTGGTCCAAGGCCACCACTGTCTA